GAGGGCGGATGCGGGCTACATGGAGGGCCGACGAGGGCTGAGAGCCTAAGATCACCCACAAGTTGTGCACTTCGGGCCTACGTTGCACTTTTGTTCCGGTAAATTCAATCTCAAGACGTTCGTCCACATGCAGGTGAGAATGAAGGAAGCTTCCAAAGGCATTCCTGAATGTATAAATACACCACGTGGAAGGGCTTTCAACAATTGACCCACTGGCATCATCCCTAAACCCTAAACCCTTGCGGAAGCCCCCAAAAGCTTAGCGCTGCCCGCACCTGGGCGCAGCCCCTAGAATCGGGCAGCGCTCGCTGCCCTGTATGTTCTGGGCTTGGCCCAGCCGAAGGAGGGAGTTTCTGCGAAGCAAAAGCCACGACCGCCTGTGCCGCCGACCCGCCGCCGACCCTGCTTCATCGGACCTTGGTTTCTCCATCGGGCCGCGCGGGCTCTCACCCGGAGGCTTCTCGGAACGCGCACGCGTTTGGCAGCTATTCCCCACGGTATGGCGGGTTTCGGGGCCGCCGTGGACGAATTCAGGAGGCCAGGCGGCGAGCATCATGAGCCTTCGGGCGCCCGCAACCGGTCTTTTGGCCGGAGGCGATGTTTTGGCTATGCTTTGTCCGGTTTTGAATTGGTTTGGGAAGCCCCAAAGGGGTGCGCATCATGAGCATCAGCGGGATTTGGCGGAGTGCGGGTGCGGGCTGCCGAGGGCTGGGAGGGCTGAGAGGGCAAGGGGAGGGGAGAACACAAGGGCGGGTGCGTGGCCTAGTTTCATGCTTCTACCTGTGCTGCCCGCACCTGGGCAGAGCCCCTAGAATTAAATCGGGCAGCGCTCGCTGCCCTGTATAGTCTGAGCTTGAGTTTCTGCGAAGCAAAAGCCACGACCGCCTGTGCCGCCGACCCGCCGCCGACCCTGCTTCATCGGACCTTCGTTTCTCCATCGGGCGGCGCGGGCCCGGTATGGCGGGTTCGGGGCCGCCGTGGACGACCCCAGGAGGCCAGGCGGCGAGCATCATGAGCCTTCGGGCGCCTGCAACGGCGGAGGACGGGTGCGGGCTGCCGACGAGGGCTGAGAAGGCAAGGGGAGCGGAAAACACAAGGGCGAGTGCGTGGCCTAGCTTCAGGCACTACCTGCACTGCCCGCACCTGGGCGCAGCCCCTAGAATAAGGCTATAATCTTGGGGTTGGAACGTCGCCGTCGGCTTTTTCGAGCAATTCGCTTCCTCAGATTCAGTGTCTGCGTGGTCTCAGGATCTGCGTACAGCTTTGCGTACATGACACGAGGGTCTGAGGTTGCAGGTGTGACGCGTAGACGTTTCGAACTTCGGGCCTGCGAGTGAGTAATCATCGTTAAAGTGACGATCATCGCAACAGTCGTAATCGTGCCCGTAATTGCAAAACTGCCAACAGTACTAGCAGTAACAATCGAAAAATGACAATGCCCAGTAGAGTAATTACAACATGTGGCTCCTTGAAGCGTTCCTTTATGCGTTCCTTTGAAGGAACCCTGCCTGCAAGGGTTTCTTGAAAGGCCGTGAGCCCAAAAGTCAAGTCGAAATCCTCAGATCCCGGGGTCACAAGAGCGTTTAGGGTTGACAGGGAATTGGGTCCAAGCCCGACGTCACGTATCTTGAGCCTTCACCCCTGGCCTTAAAATCTCAATGAAGCAATTTGGCAGCACTACTCCCGCGACCTGTGTCAATGCCGCCAGCGCCTTCACGTTCGGGTTTAGATTTCAGGCTGCGGGAAGCATTCTTGCTTGGATAGCTGGCAATGTCGCTGAATGGGGTTCGCCGGATACCCTCAAAGATCCTCAAAGCTCAGAGCTTAGAAGCCCTTTGCGTGTGACCTCTGACCCCAGTTTCGCAGGTCGGGCTGAGCGGCGGAGTTTAGGGCTGCAAACCATGCTTGCAGCCTGTGCCCTACTTGGGAGGGCCCGACTTTCAGAACAGCTGTGGTGTAGCGGTGAGTTTCGTACAGTCGACCATTTAAGGGCTTCTGGTGTACTTTGGGGCCTTCCGGATTTCGATTTGAGCGAGTTTCCCCAGGCCAAGCTTGGAGGTCGGACCATGAGTTTAAGCCAACCAAACCCAAAACTCCGACACTCCCCTGAACACTCAGGCTGCAGGGTTTTCTAAGAGAGCAAAACAAGCATGCTAGGCACCTGAGGACCCCTACTTCAACACAAGATAAAAAGTCCGGCGTATTCCAGCTCCCATCCTGCTCATTTCTCCCACCACTGGTCTCACTTGCACCTTCGCCGCTTAAGATAAGCCCAAGTTTCAATCAGCACTTGCACGCGTAGGGAAACGCTGAGCAGAAGACACCCATTTGGCCAGCCAACGCTCGCAAACTAAACCGTGAACTCCAACGCAAACCTTCAACCCCAACCCTAAACCCAACCATCCCAGTCAGCCGCCCAGAGTTCAAGGAACCCACGAACTGGGCCTGGAGACCCATCTCTGCGGCACGGCACCGGAGCTGAGGCCAGGGGCTTAAGAAGTTTTGGCGGGTTTTGGGTCGTGGGCGGCTTGACCTGCAAGGCATAATAAATGCTGGAAACTTACGGGCTGAAACTTCATTGCTGTTTTGGATTGATGTGATCAGCAAGGGTCCTTGTTCGAGGGTCTCAGTTTGCGGATTGCAGAAGTGAGCTTGGCCCTCAAGACATGACATCTCTAGCCAAGAACAGGCTAAATCGGAAGGCTGAATATCGGGTCCATGTCGTCCTGAATAACCGAAGCTTACGGGCCGAAGCCCTCAGTTTTAGACGATAACCGAGGGGCAAAACGCATCGGAATAAGGCTGAGTACCCTCAGTCCAAGATGAAGTTCGACGAAGGTCGGGGGGTTTCTAATAACGACGAAAACGCGGGTCGGCATCGGCCAAGGGTTCGACGCAGGCTAAAGGAGACAGGGGGAGTGGGGGGGTCAACAATCTTCGCCGGATACTGCACCCCTGAGGCCGAGTACCCTCAACTATATGCTAGCGGGTCTCGGGCATGATATTGCATGATCCACAGCGCCTTTTCCCTGATTATGACCCCTCAGGACTCCCACCACCGCTGCTCTCGCAGGCGAGGCGTCCACCTGCCGTCGAGTTTCCTAAGCTACACAGATCGGGAGGCGGTGTGCGATGGTTGGCAAGGTTTGAGCAGCTCAAGTCAACCTGTGACCCTAGGCTCCGGCCCCTGCACGCGAAAACGGAATACCTGAACGTCTGCAAGACGCCCTACTGGCAGTCGCCACTGATGCAGGCTTAAGCTGACCAGACTAGCTATTCGACGCAGCTAGCACACAGAGTGCTGCACCAGGACGCCGTCATTTTGGGGGTAAGTGCCGGCGGAAGCCAATCATGAGAGGAAATACGACAAGCATGGTGCAGCTAGTCTATGCTGAAGACCTTGTTTGTACAGTTGCTGCTAATACCGACACAGAATTTCGACTGTTGCTGCTTGTTGTAGCTACTCAACTCTCAGCTTTGTTGCTGAAAACAATGGCCAGAAATACTGCTTGTGCTGCTGCTATTGCTACTTCTACTGTTACTTCATGTACTGCTACGACCATGACTTCGACAGCGACACAACAAATACATTTCCGCCCCTACACATACTGTCACTACTGCCACAACTGATACTACTCCTACTCCTACTGCTACACCTACTCCCACTCCCACTCCCACTCCCACTCCCACTCCCACTCCTACTCCTACTCCTACTCCTACTCCTACTCCTACTCCTACTCCTACTCCTACTCCTACCCCGACCCCGACTCCGACTCCGACTCCGACTGCGACTGCGACTGCGACTGCGACTGCGACTGCGACTGCGACTGCTACTGCTACTGCTACTGCTACTGCTACTGCTACTGCTACTGCTACTACTACCACCACTACTACGACTCCTGCTAGTACTATTGCTGCTACTAGCACTACTAGCACTACGACTACTAGCACTACGACTACGACGACGACGACGACGACTACGACTACTACTTCAACAACAACAACAACAACAACAACAACAACAACAACAACAACAACAACAACAACAACAACAACAACAACAACAACAACAACAACAACAACAACAACAACAACAACAACAACAACAACAACAACAACAACAACAACAACAACAACAACAACAACAACAACAACAACAACAACAACAACAACAACAACAACAACAACAACAACAACAACAACAACAACAACAACAACAACAACAACAACAACAACAACAACAACAACAACAACAACAACAACAACAACAACAACAACAACAACAACAACAACAACAACAACAACAACAACAACAACAACTACTACTACTACTACTACTACTACTACTACTACTACTACTACTACTACTACTACTACTACTACTACTGCTACAACAACAACAACATCAACAACAACTGCTGCTGCTACTACTACTACTACTATTCCTGCTAGCACTTCTACTAGCACTACGATGAGGAGGAGGACGACGACGAAGACGACGACGACGAAGACGACATAGGCGATTGAGGCTGGCACCAGCACCAGCAGTAAGCAACAGCACCAGCACCAAAAGGCACCAGCAGCACCGGCACCATCACCAGACACTCTCCTGCTGCTGTCTGCCGAAGCCCGTTAATGCTATGGCAACCGCTACTCCGTCTTCTCACCCAACCATAGTTGGTAAACCCGTAGCTGCACCCCCAAGGCTTGCCTCTGCCAGCCCGAGCAACGCAGACGAGCGAAGCGCCGCAAGCGCCGCCATGTTAACGCGAAGGCTTCGGGGAGTTGGTGTTAAGGCTGCCTGATCTGGCTCTGATTCCTGAGATTGATGATTGATATGTCGGTTTTAAGTGGAGTTGTGGGGCGTGTGATATGGGTTCGCGGATTTTGGGATCTGGGGTTGAAGGCTTTCCGATTTAATTAGGGCCTGGTCTCAAACGCTTGGTAAAATGCATCGCGATTGCAAATTCGAGATTCAAAATAGGATGACTTCTTTGGGGTTAAAATAGCGGGCGCCTCCGGAGCGGCCCCTCTGCGCCAACTGTCTCAGCTACCTTCTGAACTGCACTTGGCCAAGGCCCCCACTTTGGCGACTCCAAGGCGCTCGCAGTGTCGGCGCGAGTCACGACCTCGACTGGGCCGCAAACATTCGAGGGAGCTTTTGACCCTGAAACTTCACCGCAACCGACCGCTTCCGAAGAACCTTGCACTGCCTTGTGACATGTACACGTGCAGGAATAGGAACGCAAAACACGGTTTGTTTCGACGATCTGGAAGAACCAACATCGTTTGGAATGCATACGGCACGCAGCAAAACCGCCGCCCCCGTCGAGGTTTCGAGTCGCTTGCTTGCCCGCATGCAGCAAAACCGCCGCCCCCGTCGAGGCGTCGAGTCGCTTGTTTGCCCTCAAGTGCTTGAAAACCAGAGCCTAAGAACCGAAACGGCGAAGCCCCATCCTGTGACCTGTGCACCAAAGCGCGCTCGGACCCTGCAAAGCACAAACTCCGAACGGACCGCCGAAATGTGCTTTTGCAGCCTGGAAAAGCAGGTGTTGGAAGGTCCGAACCTCCTGCCGCTCGGAGGCAAGGCAAGCGAGGTAACCGCTGCTTTCGTCCCCCTGACTCGCTCGTGCTGGGTTCCTGTGCACCAAAGCACGCTCGGATCCTGCAAAACACAAACTCTGAACGGACCGCCGAAATGTGCTTCTGCAGCCTGGAAAAGCAGGGTTTGGAAGGTCCGCACCTCCTGCCGCTCGGAGGCAAGGCAAGCGAGGTAACCGCTGCTTTCGTCCCCCTGACTCGCTCGTGCTGGGTTCCACACGAACAAGCTTGGCTTGGCCTGGCCAGTAGCCGAGACCTCGCGTTAGACACGCCACACTGCTGCCTCCCGCAAAGCACAAAGTCTGGACTGACCTCCAAAACGCACTTTTGCGGGCTCCAAAAGCACGTTTTGGAGGGGTTCCGACGACAGACCAGCCGCAGAATCCGCGCCAATGTGCTGTCGCCCGCAAAGCACAAACTCCGAACTGACTTCCAGAACGCACTTTTGCAGGCTTCAAAAGCACGTTTTGGAGGGGTTCCGACGACACAACAGCCGCAGAATCCAAGGAAGAAAAACGCATGGTGCACCAGTGGGCTTGCGAAACGCGCTTTCTTTCCGCCATCCGCAAATGACCAACATCGTTTCGAATGCATGCGGCATGATACAAAACCGCCACCCCCGTCGAGGTTTGGAGTCGATGGTTTGCTTTCAAATGCTTGAAAACAGGGGCTGAAGAACGACGCGGCGAAGCCGAATCCTGTGGCCCTGCCAGCACTTTAACAACTTCGGAGCCAAAAAGCGCGATTTCGAGCGTGCACGCCCAAAGCCGGAAACCACGGCCCTGCCGACGTTTCGTGCACTCTGCAGCCTCCCCAACATAGCGAAGTTACAAGTAACGAACTCCGAATTCATTGGCCCTGCCAATACAAAACGCACCTCCGCGCGTACAAGCGACCGCCCAACTCTTTGCACAAGCGAACGGGCCAATCTTTGCACAAGTGACCGCTCAGCCCTGCCATGCGGTTCTCGGTCTTACTCTCATCCGTCGTATCACCAGTGTTCCACGTATCTACTGGCTTCTATACTTAAAGTCCAAGTCCCAACTCATCGCAAAACTTCGATTATATTCCGACTCGTCATGATTGCTCTGCAACTATTTGAGCGGCACCCTTGTCCTGGACATTCCTGTTGCCACTATCCGTCTCAGTGCGGCCGTTGCTTTCATATTCAGCACTAGCCAGTCCGCAAGTAATCTGAGAAGCTCGCCTCTGTGCTCAGAATTGGGGATTCTGCCACAGCAGATCTTGAATCCAAGCCAGTTGGGCTCAAATTTTCAAACCTGATCAAGCCTCTTGTAATCCTGGAGATGGAGCACCGGCCCTAGGCACCTAAACATCACATCCCCTCGAGGCTGACGCATTAGGCGTGCAAAGGCTAGTAAACGGCTAGTATCATAGCAGGCAGCCCAGACATCACAATGAGGTACAACTCGCGTTGAGCATCCGGCCACAATCACCGGCATACCAAAGTTGTAGGTCAACGACGCCGCACCTCCTGCGGAACAAAGCAGTAAGAATCAGATGGGCTAAATCTGCAAAAGCTCGTGGGCTCTCCGCATGCTAGCCCAAAAGTATCGGGAAATTCGATTTCTACCTTAGGATTGAGGGTGTAGCTTTCATACATGCTTCACACGTTACAGTAGGCGGGTACGAGTACAAGTCTTGCAAGAGCAGGAGGAGCATTAGGAGTAGTCGTAGGCGAAGTATTCAGTAGTAGTCGTCGTGGTGGTGGTACCAGTAGCACTTGGTAGGAGTAGAACGCTGGACGAGAGGATTCGAGGACTCCATGGCCGGACGGTTCGGGTTCTTCGGTGGAGGCGTCTCCTGAGACTGCGTCCAAGAAGGACTAGCCAGGCGCTTCTTCGACGGTTCGGCCGGTTTTGCGGGTGTCCTTGCGACAGCCTTCTTGATCATTGCGGTCGGGGCAACATGTTCCGCATCACGCTCGGCTTTGTGTTTTCAGCAGCCGGGAGGGCTCTTGCTACGGAGCAGAAGCCTGTTCATGCTTCTTGGCATTTTCTGCTTCGGCTTTCATCTTCGCCTGACCAGCGGCACGCTCCTCCTTGGTCTGCTTCAGATCTGCTGCCAAGCCTCGCTTCATGGACTCGGCTATGCTTCGACCGCGGCTTGCGCAACGGGCGAAGACACACAGGTCCTCCACACTTGGAGGACTGCCACATCCCTCTCGGGAAAGACACGACTTCTACATGGAGCATCAAGGCTCACGGCATTCGGCCAAGGGTAAGGCTGAGGAACCTTATCAACCAAAAAACTGCGCCACTCAAGGTCGGCGGCTGCGCGGAAGTCGGTGACCTCCGGGGCGATCCTATCTGGGAGCCTTTCGCCATTCGACAATGAAAAGCAAGCCATGTCGACCTCAAAGATGCAATGGCGATATTTGCGGTAGCACCGGCCTTCTCCTTGATTCTATCGGTGAAAGCACCACCACTGCTACTGCTACTGCTACTGCTACTGCTACTGCTACTGCTACTGCTACTGCTACTGCTACTGCTACTGCTACTGCTACTGCTACTGCTACTGCTCCTGCTCCTGCTCCTGCTGCTGCTGCTGCTGCTGCTGCTGCTACTGCCACTGCCACTGCCACTGCTACTGCTGCTGCTACTGGTACTGCTACTACTACTACTACTACCACCACCACTACTGCTACCACCACTGCTCCTGATACCGCCACTGCTACTGCTACTGAACTACGACTACGACTACTACTACTATCTACCTACTACTGCCTACTGCTACTTACTGCTACTTACTACTACCTACTACACCTACCACCTACCTCTACCAGCTACCACCTACCACCTACTACCTGCGACCTACTACCTACTACCTCCTGCCTGCTACCTGCTACCGGCTACTGGCTACAGGCTACCTACTACCTATTACCTACTACCTTCCACCTTCTACATACTACCTGCACCGACAACCAACTGCCAACTACCTACTAGCTACTACCTGCTACGTACTACCTACTGCCTACTCCTACTTCCTACCGCCTAGTTGCTACTACTTGCTACCTACTACCTGCTGCCTACAACCTACTACCTACTACAGTATCTCCTACTGCCACTACTACTACTACTACTACTACTACTACTACTACTACTACTACTACTACTACTACTACTACTACTACTACTCCTACTGCTACTGCTACTGCTACTGCTACTGCTACTGCTACTGCTACTGCTACTGCTACTGCTACTGCTACTGCTACTACTGCTGCTGCTGCTGCTACTGCTACTGCTACTGCTACTGCTCCTACTCCTGCTACTGCTACTGCTACTGCTACTGCTACTGCTACTGCTCCTCCTTCTACTACTACGACTACTACTAGGACGACTACTACTACTACTACTACTACTACTACTACTGCTGCTTCTACTTCAAGCACTTCTTCACTACTCCTGCTACTGCTCCTGCTGCTACTACTACTACTTCTTCTTCTACTGCCACTACCACTACTACCAGTAGGTCACTATCACTACCACTACCACTGCCACAGCCACTGCAGCTGACCGCTATCACCACTGTCACCACTGCCACCACTGATACGATCACCACCACTACACCACCGCCAGTACAATGGCATGTGGTTCCGACAACCCCGTCCCCGAGCTTTTTACCTGGCGATCCCCTCAAGCCTGCGAGCCGCTCCACTCAAGACCAAGCGAAACGAAAGTGCACTAAGCTCTGACGGCTGAAGCAGACAAGCCTGCACTCAAAGCCTGAATGCCAACTCAACCTTAGAAATTCTTCAACCCCACCCCGAATGCCAACACCCAAAGCCGAAAGGTCCTGCATACACAGTCAACAAGCCTGAAATTCCAAAGCGGCGTTCCTGCTTTCTCTTTTCCCTCTGACTCCTGGTCGGCAGAAGACAAACGCTCCGCTTGAAAGAGTGTTGTTACGACTTGGGACCTGGAGCTTCGGGTCTTGCCATGTTGGGCGTTAGGATGCACGGTTCATGGCTCAGAGGGCAGTGGCTGATGTAGTTCATCACGCAACAGGTCTGTGCCCCTACTCGTCTCGGGCCCTTAAAGGCGGTGCCAAACCGACCATAACCCATTGGACTTCATGAAACCTTTGCCTGTCGAAACTGTCCTGCGAGAAGTCTCCAACCCGCAGATTCGCATAACTGCAAATTGGGCCTCACCCTGCGCCGCTTCGGCGTTCGCCTTGCCATGGCACAGTGTTAACAGCTTTGGGTTTGAGGATAGCTGCTGGCTTCACAGGCCTTTGCTTAAGGCTTGCGATTGGCAGCCTTGGCTGGCTAGTTAGTTAGTTCGTGCCATCCTGAATTGCAACACAAATGTATTCGTAATGCGTTTGGAAGGGATGGATTAACGTCGCCCCGATGAAACGCCATGTGCTTACATTTGTTGCCCGGCAAAAGCAAAAGAGACTGTCGGGGCTCCAGGTCAGATCCCCAAAATGCAAAGCTTTGCATTTTGCCCTATACTAAAACCAAAAATGAAATGCTGTAAAGCTTGAAGGCCATTGCTGAAGCATGCTGTTTAAACTAGTTGGTGCATTTTGGAAAGGCAGTTGGAAAAAGATCTTTTTCTTGGAGGGACAATATCCGGAATGTGATCATGTTTGCCATGTTTGTTGCAAGTTCTTTTCAACTGGCTAGATACCCCAGCCAAGGGCTGCAAATCACAAGCTTCGGCCCGACAGTTTGCTGTTTAGGGCGCACTCGATACCTCCCCGACAGCCTAAAGCCACGAAGCATTGTAGACCCCCCAATGCTCCAAAAAGGAATAACAGCAAATGCGCAGCCCGAGCGACCCTGTCTTTGAGAGCTTGATTTTGGCACGGAGGGTTTGGATTTCTTGCTTTGGGATCGAAGGCTTTGGGTTTCTGGTGGGCTTACGACCTCAAAGCCTCATTCAACCCCCCGAAACCTTGTTTTTAACTCTCCGACTCCGGGTCTCCGCGCAGACTCGCCAGAGGGCTCCTTAGGCTGTAAGTTCCCAGGCTTCCTCTTTCCACCCCCAGCGTATCCCAGCGTGTTCAGGGATCCACCCAACCAGGTCCCAAGTGGTTTTCAATCTCATCCGCAAGTTCTTGGCAACAACTCAACATCATATTTCACTGCAAACGGAAACTGTGCACCGTCGATTGTCGCATCCTTGAGTCTTTGAGCTGGATGGATACGAAGTCTTGCTTGCCGTCCCAGAGGTACGGATTCACCCATCCAACAGCCTTTTTCACGCTGTTGACTGTGCATCGTCAGATAAGCAGCTGCAGGCTCGTGAAATGTTGCAAAATGGCCAGAACCACGTCCACCAAGACGATCGGGACGTAGAGGATTCGGAGGCGAGCCAGCAGTAAGCTACGATGAAACGGTGTACGATGGTCGGGCGGACCCCTTTCAGAGGGTAAGTATTTACACGGCCACGCAATTCATAGCTGCTCAAGAACTCGGATCCGGGCACTAGCCGAGTCCTTCTTCCATTCCAGCTCTTCTTCCTTTCAACACTTGCCTCCGCATGCCTGACCACTTCCGTCCTAACACATGCAGAACGCAACCCAAACACCACGCGCCGACTGAACACCAAGACCTCCAGTCTGAGCCGATGTGCAAAGCCTCACATGCTTCCAAGCATGGCAAAGCTTTGGTCTATTATGAAGAGCACGCGGCTTCTCATCAACACATATCCCCAGAAACCATCGGGCTGCGGAAAAGACTCGAAGAGATTCCGATGAAATCAATCGAAAAACGAATCAAGGTCTACAGTCATCCCCAACGGAAAGAGACCCCTCAGCTGCAGCTGGGAGCTCAGCATAGGCCGCCAACTCATCTGAGACCTGCTCCCGGAGACGATCCTCCAACAGCTTCGGAATGTCAGGGATTTTAGGGCTTTGTACTGTTCACGAGATGTGTTCATCATTCTGACTGGGTTGGGCATCGAAACAACAGCAAGTGATCCAGAGAGTATGGGACTTGGGTGGGTTTCGACCTCCTGATCTCTGGCCGTATGCACAGGAAATCTGTCCAAAAAACAACGTTGTACTTCGCAGCTACGTGACGAGCGTTTCGAGGGATATTTTGTAGGTGCCACACGGGTCTGTGCACCTATACGAGCGGGGTTGTGCATGAGTAAGTGCAGGCAGGAAGACCGGCGAGCGTGTGGATGCGACTGTAGGCACAGCGGGACCGCATACATGTATGCGCACATGCGTGCATGCATGCAACACACATGCATCCACACATGCATGCATCCACGTATCCGTGCCTCCATGCATCCATGCATCCATGCATTCATACATCCTACATACACACATACACACATACATAATACATACATACGTACACACATACATACATGCATACGTACATACAGACAGACAGACAGACCTACCTAAATATATACATGCACAGCCAGCCAGCCAGCCAGCCGTGCATGAATGCATGCTTGCATACATGCACACACATGCAACACAAATGCATGCAAGCATCGATGTGGACATGCATGTGGGCTTCATTCATAAACACAAAACTCGTGTACATGCGCATTGTATGTATGACCTTAACATGCACAAGTGCTCATGAATACTTCCGCGTGCTTGCATCTGTACAAACAAAACGGCCTTGGATGGACTAACTGTTGTGATGTGGTGGCGAGCAAAACCTGACCCGCCTGCTCCTCCAAAGGAAGCTGCTGCATCCTTAGGGTGCAGGTCTGCCGAACCCTGAACTTTTGGCGAGTTCCGGAGCCTAACTCCAGCAAAAAGGCAAGATGTCTGGACATTTACCATGGCATGCGGAATTGATTTAGATATGTTGTGCTCTTTTCCTGTATGTTTTGTTTTCACTGTTTTCAAGAAAACTCTCGGCAATTTACAAGCTCCAAGCCCTCTGAAGGCTTCTTTCTGAACGTACATGTGCATGCCTCTCTGCTCATGCAAGCTCTTTGCCCCTTGCAATTTGCACAAAATAGCCCGATTCAAGCTAGTCACTTAGCATTCTTTTGCTGGGCACGTGTTCCGGTTCATCATGTATCTTAAACACGCCCCCTCGTTTGGTGATTCCTCTTCACCCTATATCCAAAACACGCCCCCCTCTTTTGGCGATTCGGGTTCATCATATATCTTTAACCCTTCCCTCGTTTGCGATTCCGCTTCGTCATATATCTACGACATGCCCCCTCAATTGGCGATTCTGTTGTATCATATATCTGAAACACGCCCCCTCAGTTGGCGATGCCGATTCATCACATATCTTGAACATGCCCCCTCTTTCGCGACTCCGGTTCATCATACATTTAAAAGACACCCCCGCATTTGCCGATTCCGGTTCGTCATCTATCTTAAACACGCCACCGCAAAGACGTTACATACTGGTACATGTGATTTATGTATGTATGTAGGTGTCTCTCTATATATGAGTGTGTGTGTGTGTACACTGCATACTGCACAAATAAACTATATAGAAGCTCGCCCCTCCTTTTTGCCCCGTGCTTGGAAGTATTCCACTGGATCTCGGCCGGAAAGTAAGCCGTGCTAAAGCAGGGCCGCCAGGAATTTACCATCTGGCTCAACAGCCATCCAAGAAGAATGTTCCCCGCCAGCAGCCGACGGGTGGGAGGGCGGGGGCTGCAAAGATCTTGAGACGGAACATCATTCGGCACTCGCTTCTATGCATCAGAAGCTCGCCCCTCCTTTTTGCCCCGTGCTTGGAAGTATTCCACTGGATCTCGGCCGGAAAGTAAGCCGTGCTAAAGCAGGGCCGCCAGGAATTTACCATCTGGCTCAACAGCCATCCAAGAAGAATGTTCCCATAACTCCCACACATTATAGGCCAGTGAAAGGCCGCTCGCCGGCAGAAAACAATGCATACCAGGAAGTAGGCGGAACGCCGACACGTTTCCAGGCGCAAGCCTGTTCCAGAAGCGCCGTGAAGGCATGTGCGAGGCACAAGATTTTTTCACGCAGCTCCAAGGGAAGCGCAGGGAAGTATACGGCAGCCTGGACCTCCTGTATATAAATTTCCATCACTCGCTGTGATGCCCACCTGTCTCTCCGTCGCACCAGCTCGCTGTCTTCAGTTTGCCCCATAAGGAAGGTTGCGCCACCTGGCCTGAAAGAGCCAAGATCCAGAGGCCGACGCATGCCGCGGGCAGTTGGTAAGCCCATCCTTTCCAGAACAAGGTCGAAACGACGTCGCAAAGTCTGCGCGGACTGGGGCCACAAACGGCACGAAGGCTGCAGGTCCGCAGAGAAAGAAATTTCTTGGCATTCGGGGGTTCCAAAGTGATTCGGGGGTTCTGCCCCCGAGAGGCTCGCCAGAGCCATAGCAATGGTGACCCGCAAGCAACTTAGTTATTAACCAGCGCTCCGCTTGTTCTGCTCTTCTTTACTTCGTCACATCTTGGCTCGAGTGAGCACTGCGGTTTAGTTTGCTATGATGATTATTTTGGAAATCTTTGACCCGAGTCAGACACATCTTTGAGCTGAGCCCAATGAATCTTTGAGCCGAGTCATTTCAAAAAAGTTGAGCCGGAACGGCTTGAGCCGAAGCACTTTGAGCCACAAAAGTAGAAACTCTTTGAGCCGCAAAAGTTAGGGTCTTGTAGGGATATTTTAAAGTTCTGTACTGAACCCTGTATGTCTGCTTAATAAACTGTTTTCTTGGTCTACAACAAAAAATCTATAGCATTCAATACCTCTGTTTCTCTGGGTTTGCGTTGCAGCACTTCGCATGAAGTATTTTTGGTGGTTTGCGTCGCAGCAAACAGGGAATACTAGGCAATACTTCGTGTGATTATTTCAGTCTTATGGTGTTTGCCTCGCAGTAGACAAGGAATACTAGACAATACTTCGTATGATTATTTCAGTTTTAAGGTGTTTGCCTCGCAGCAGAGAGAGAAAGAGGCAATACTTTGTATGATTATTTCAGTTTTAAAGTGTTTGCATCGCAGCAGAGAGAGAAACAGGCAATAGTTTGTATGATTATTTCAGTTTTAGGGTGTTTGCCTCGCAGTAGATAGTGAATACTAGGCAATGCTCAGTATGATTATCCTCAAATCTGATTCTCTCCTTCTCACTCTCTTCACTCACAGCTGCCACAGCTCACAATCGGTAACAATGTACGGCAACTGACTGTTTCCACCGCTGCGGGCTTCAGGCTCCAGGCTTCAGGCACAGCAGGCAGCTAAGGATCCCCAGTCGTGTGTCGAGACTTTGTTAAAAGCTATTCCTCAGCACTCCTTCGCTGCCATGCTTTGTACGTGTAGACGTGTCACACAGCTGATCTACGGATCTAGCGGGAGGTCTTCTGCAAGAGGAATTTCTTCCTCATCATTCTCATCACCCTCGCCACCGTTGTCGTAGTACGCCGCTGCCACTTCTTCATTCGTCTCCTCTTCGGCCATTTGGACCTCCTGCTCGGCTTCTTTTTTCTCTGGCGATCCTTACAACATGTCCAATGGCTCACAACCGCTGCAAACTGCAAGAGGTGAGAAATCAGCCAAGGTTCCGTGATCTCCTGCCGTGATGAGCTCCTTCTTCAGCTTTGCCTTGGATACATCCATCACAACGCCGACGCACTCTGAGTGAATGACATAACAACGAGTCGAGGGGCAGCAAGCTCCTTGACTTCTGCTTGGCCCGTTCCATTCACCAGGCTCTGATGGCAGATGTCCTGTGACAAACATTGCCAAGAAATAAAAACATCTACTGCAACGGAATAGTTTTCAGCATCTCAGGAGCAGGCGATGATCTCCTTGAGTTTATCCTTGTCCAGGCCCTTGCCTCCCACCTGCACAGCGCTCGCGACAGACATGTAGTGGCACAGCAGCACTCACCCCTGCCCGGCCGACACCGATTTCTTTCCCTCCTTGTTTGATTCCCCACCGCAATGTACCCTTGTGCCAGCACGGATTGGCGAAGTTGCCTGCCAGCAAATGAAACCGATTTAAGATAACCACAAAAAGAGGTTTAGGGTTTAAGGTTTAATTTAGGGTTCTAGGGAATAGTTTAAAGCTATTATATAATATTATTAGAGTCTATAGGGTTTAGGGTTTAGGGAATGTTTCGGAAACGGATGCTCTCGCACCTGCCACGGACTCAGACTTTGCAGCCGGCTTCTTGATCACTGTTGACTTTGACTTGATCGCTGGCTTTCTTTTCTTGGGCTGCTCATCTTCAATCTCCGTCTCAGGCTTCTCGGCGACTGGCTGCTCATCTTCAATCTCCATCTCAGGCTTCTCGTCGACTGGCTGCTCATCTTCAATCTCATCCTCCTTTAACTCAGGCACAGCCATGGCGGGCTTCTTCTGCAGCACCTTGGCCTTGGCTTTTGTCGTGGCCTTCGCCTTCGCCTTGGGCAACGGTTCCTGCACTCAAAAACCACACACACGTACACGCACACACACACACACACTTTACAAACGGACTCGCGACTGCGAAAGCATTGTCCTGGCCCGGCTCATCATCACTCAGAGTGCTGACAGCTGGAAGCACGCCCATTGGACCGCGGTTAGGGTCGGCGTCGGTCGGATGTCAAATGCCCCGTAAAAGCCACGCTGCCACGTTAGGATGATAATAAGCTTTGATTTGGATGCCGGCGCATTCGAAGTTTTGCAGCAAGTAACAGAAACACATTCAAGCTCTATTTTGCAAGAACTGAGTGCTGACTCAAGTCAGAACTGCCAGCCATCACGTTCGTAGGGTCTAGAAGATGTGCCCCACGCGTTGAAAGAAACGCATCCGGGTCGAAGCACATTGCACCATGCATAATATTATTAATCATGCTCGACGGTGTGAGATTACACTATCACAAAAGAGCCCCACCCCGGATGACCTGGAAACATCACGATCTGGTCGGCTTGATTTCACATCAAACCTTGTACCAGCACCCTGGCTCCAGGGACAGGGAGCACGTCAGGTAGACCTTCGGCTTCGTCTGACTGCCATAAACAACAAAACCTTCACAATCAATGATCATGAATGAATGGTAAGCACCTGGTAAGCCATCAATCACAGCTCACAGCTGAGGGGCTTCCCAAAGCACTTGTGCTCGAGTGCTGCCCCGCAAGAGCGTGTCGAACTTACCCAGGAAAACCGCGCCCAACTGGGAGTGCTTCACCTCCACACCACAGTCGCCCTCCACACCAGAGCCGCCCGCCTGACCCAACTCCAGCTTGGTGGGCTTGAAGACGTTGGTGAGCTTCGTTGAGACCGGATCGATCTTGTAGCGATACGCAACCGGCAGCGGCTGGCCCCCGGATACCTTCCATCAGTCTCTGGATCACGGTCCCTTTAGGGATTTGGCTCAATCTTTGGCTCAATCAACAGATTAAACAGCTTTGTTGGTGAATCAGCCGGTCAATGCGCATCCGAATTCTTTGTTGCCTATTGTGTTGCGGGGCCAAGCCTCGGCTGGATGCTCCTTCGTTCCGATGACATGGTCCTGGAGCTCGATCTCCGCCAAGCCCTGGTTGACCACGAGCTCGTGGAAGTAGTTGCAAAGGCACACAACACGCTTCTCCACAGCAACGAATGCCAGGTCGTCTGGCAGTCGCCACACCAGACCAGTAGCGTCTCCTCCCGCACCTGCTTTAGATTTGACTTCATACTGTCACAAACTAAGACGTTTCACAGTGCTGATGGCTTGCAACAACGGGTCAACCCGCCTTCAACGATCTTTTCCACGAACTGCCCCACAT